CTCTCAAAGATTTTACTTTTAGGTACTGATGGTGACAGTTTTGGTGGCCCACCAGGTCTTGTTTGGTTGTTAGTGTCCCATTTTCTCTACACCTTTTAACCATTTATTGAACTCTGTACATCATACGACAATAACTGTTTGCAGAGATACAGTTTTGTTGTTTCTTTTTTTTGAGAGCAGCAACATATACACACATCACATATTGAAACATAATCCAGATTGTCTTCAATTGTTTTTTTGTCTGCTGTAAAATGTTCCTCTGTTGTCAGAACAGAGACTCAGCTGTGTGAGTGTTTGTGCATGTGTTTGTGTGGCACATGTGTGGGTATGGGCTTGACAGGCCACTGAATGCATTTAAATATATGCTAAATAGATAAATATATGCAAAATGCTGCATATGGATGCAGATACACAGTCAATATCCAGTCTGTGAGTTTGTGTGTGTGTGTGTGTGAGTGTGTGTGTGTGTGTGTGTGTGTGAGTGTGTGAGTGTGTGAGTGTGTGTGTGTGTGTGTGTGTGTGTGTGTGTGAGTGTGTGTGTGTGTGTGTGTGTGTGTGTGTGTGTGTGAGTGTGTGCGCGGGTATGAGCCGCTGCCTGTCATCGCTTGCCCTCGTGTCTGTCTCTTGTCCCTTGCTGTCTCTCTGTCAGTGTTATCACACGCTCTTATCAGTGCGACGGCTCCACTCTCCCCCTGGACAAATTCCTTCCTGCACTCTGCCTCCACCTCCCTCTCCTCCCTTATCATCTTCCCTCTCTTCTCCTTCCATATAATGGAACCGTTACAAACATACTGTACGCAAGGCTTCCTGTTAGAGTGAACTACCCAACAGTTCATGTTGTGGGAAAATCTGTATTTGTGCCATTTTATATTGACTGAAAGCTGACTTCCTTTACGGTCTAGTTTACAGACACTGGAGGTGAATAATAACACATTGATGTTTTAAGTTAATTAGGCCAAAATGGTGGAAATGACTGGTGATGGATTATGTTCCCAGTCTAGTCTTGAAAACCCACAAGCTTGATCTTCTGGGAAGGTGGGAGAGAATGTGAGTTGCCTTCTTGGTACTTCGATGAGCTGCTAACGGAACTACAGCCCACTTTCTCGCTTCTAACCCTGAGACCCTGTTTTACGATAGTTTTGTAATAAGATTTTGGCTTAAAACTTATTATAAATTATACATTATAAAGGTGCATTATAAAGTGTCTTTGCTGACATTACAAAATTCATATGTGAATAAAAAAATGAATTATGAGGGAAACAGAATCTTTGAACAACTTCATTTTCTATATACAGTACTGTGCAAAAGTTCATTTATTTAATTTCCCATCAAAACAGTGATTAGGTTTGTTGCACAATTTTTAGTGACCAAAAAACATATTTGACAGAAAATTACACAGAAGCTGCATCAACCTGATATATTATTATTGCAACATCCATTTTTTCAGTGCTGTGTCCACCGTTTTCCTTCATTACAGCTTCCATTCTTCTTCAGGAGACTTGCTTCAAGTCAGAAATCTGCAGGGATATTTTTCCACACATTCAAAGCTCGGTCTTAGAAGTTGGTTGCATTTTCTGCTTCTCACAATCCAAGTATGTCCAAACACACTTTTAAAAATATTGTAAATAAATATGATTAACGACTAAAATATATTTATATAAACACAAATAAACTAAGCTGCAGTGTGTGTTCAGTGGTGTTTGCCTCCTTTCTGCTGTCTTGTTTGGAATCTTTAATCAAATTCTTTCAGTGATGTTTTCATAAGATATTTATCTGCCAATATCATGGGTAAACATAAACAAACAAACCAGCAAACAAAAAGCTACATCCTCTGGGTTTCCTAAGCAACAGCTTACCGCATCTAGCAAAAAATGGCCCTGTTGTCGCACAAACCTGCTCCTTTTGGAGGGGTTTGCCATTCTGGAATCATTTTTGTGTGTTTTCTCTATTATTCACCTCAAAAGGGAGACGACTGATGATGAGCCTTCCTTGTGATTGATGAGGAGGACATGGCCTTGCTTGATCCAGTTGTACCAAGCCAGAAAACTCCAGCATCAGCAGTAGCAAAGTCAGCTTAGCACTCCAATGATCCATCACTTCCTGTGGCTCTCCAGGGATTCATGCACCATACTAAACCCATCTGAACCATTCCAGGAACCGTGGATCTGCACACAGGATACAGATACTGTATGGCTCCTCTTTTACACTCAAAGACATTCTTATAGCAGTCCTGATGAAGCTGTGAATTTCTGAATTCAGCCAGAAAACCTGTAACATGAAAAACACATCACTGATAACAATTAAATCCTGGAAGCAAACCTAAAGCCTTCCTGAATAAGGTACTGCAGTGGATCAGTGTGGAGTTCCTCATAGACATAGACTTCTCATTAGAATCACATGAAAATAGACCCCATGCATATGTGTGATTTTACAAGCTGTAGTTTAATGTCTCTATACTACAGTGGTGTGAAAAAGTGTTTGCCCCCTTCCTGATTTCTTATTCTTTTGCATGTTTGTCACACTTAAATGTTTCAGATCACCAAACAAATTTAAATATTAGACAAAGATAACACAAGTAAACACAAAATGCAGTTTATAAATGAAGGTCTTTATTATTAAGGGAAAAAGAAATCCAAACCTACAGGGCCCTGTGTGAAAAAAGTGATTGCCCCCCCTGTTAAAACATAAATTAACTGTGGTTTATCACATCTTTGGAAAGCTGAGTTCAATTTCCCTAGCCACACCCAGGCCTGATTACTGCCACACCTGTTCTCAATCAAGAAATCACTTAAATAGGACCTGCCTGACAAAGTGAAGAGGACCAAAAGATCCTCAAAAGCTAGACATCATGCAGTGATCAAGAGAAATTCAGGAACAAATGAAAAACAAGGTAATTGAGATCTGTCAGTCTGGAAAAGGTTATAAAGCCATTTCTAAAGCTTTGGGACTCCAGCGAACCACAGTGAGAGCCATTATCCACAAACGGCGAAAACATGGAACAGTGGTGAACGTTCCCAGGAGTGGCCGGCCGACCAAAATTACCCCAAGAGCGCAGCGACGACTCATCCAAGAGGTCACAAAAGACCCCATAACAACATCCAAAGAACTGCAGGCCTCACTTGCCTCAGTTAAGGTCAGTGTTCATGACTCCACCATAAGAAAGAGACTGGGCAAAAATGGCCTGCATGGCAGAGTTCCAAGATGAAAACCACTGCTGAGCAAAAAGAACATTAAGGCTCATCTCAGTTTTGCCAGAAAACATCTTGATGATCCCCAAGACTTTTGGGAGAATACTCTGTGGACTGACGAGACAAAAGTTGAACTTTTTAGAAAGTGTATGTCCCGTTACATCTGGCGTAGAAGTATCACAGCATTTCAGAAAAGGAACATCATACCAACAGTAAAATATGGTGGTGGTAGTGTGATGGTCTGGAGCTGTTTTGCTGCTTCAGGACCTGGAAGACTTGCTGTGGTAAATGGAACCATGAATTCTGCTGTCTACCAAAAATCCTGAAGGAGAATGTCCGGCCATCTGATCGTGACCTTGAAGTGCACTTGGATTCTACAGCAGGACAATGATCCAAAACACACCAGCAAGTCCACCTCTGAATGGCTTAAGAAAAACAAAATTAGGACTTTGGAGTGGCCTAGTCAAAGTCCTGACCAGAATCCGATTGAGATGCTGTGGCATGACCTTAAAACGGCGGTTCATGCTCGGAAACCCTCCAATGTGGCTGAATTACAACAATTCTGCAAAGATGAGTGGCCAACATTCCTCCACAGCGCTGTAAAAGACTCACTGCCAGTTATCTCAAACGCTTGATTGCCGTTGTTGCTGCTAAGCGTGGCCGAACCAGTTATTAAGTTTAGGGGGCAATCACTTTTTTCACACAGGGCCCTGTAGGTTTGGATTTCTTTTTCCCTTAATGATAAAGACCTTCATTTATAAACTGCATTTTATGTTTACTTGTGTTATCTTTGTCTAATATTTAAATTTGTTTGGTGATCTGAAACATTTAAGTGTGACAAACATGCAAAAGAATAAGAAATCAGGAAGGGGGCAAACACTTTTTCACACCGCTGTACATGATTTAAAACTGCATGTATATATTCAGGTTACTCTGCACAAAATTATATCTTGGTGAGCAAAGTCACCTTGAATCTATTTAATATTTCTAAAATGTCTCAATATTTTAAGAATATTTAACTCATTTGCAGACATTTTAGTTAATGGTCTTATTTTATTGGCCATAATTTAGCTGGTTGAGTATTATGTCTTCAAACAAGCAACATAATCTTCCAACAGAATCAGACGGTTCACTAGATTACATTTCTGTAAGTAATATTAGAAATACTGAACAGAGTAAAGATGTTTTCATGTGCCAAGATGTCATTTTGCAGTGCAGTTGGGGTCAAGACTGCTAACTATATCCACATAAAATGCTAATAAATCATACACACACTGTCAGCTGAGGTTCACTTACAGTATTTTCACTGTTATTATATTAACAGTGAAATATTATTATATATTATTATAATATTAACGTCTAAATGTGAAGCAATGTCCCAAGATCACAGCTTTTTCTGTTTTTCTTGTTCGTGTATTGCCTCGTTCATATTTGTGTTGGATTATATACTGTGGTGTTTTGTTTGTCTATAAGGATGTAAAATATCAGGATCATATTGAGAGAATATCGTGTCATATTTGTCTGTACATCATATTATTCTGATAACGGTCAAACTGACAGTTCTTATTGTCTTCGCCCTTTTAGCAGCCTGTCATTCCACAGCTGAATGAGGACTGTGTTGATGAATGACAGCTTTAGGTTAGGCTTTAGTCTGTGGTAGAACCAGATGGTTCCTTGCAGAACCACAGAACTGAGCAATGTGTCTGAGGGTCGAATGAGAGGAGGGTTAATGGAGGCGCTCGTTCTCTAGACGTTACGGTAAGGGCTGAACTGATGTGTCTGGTTTATGGGAAGCTGCTCAGAGTGGCGACGGTGGAGCTGCAGCGCAACATCGCGCGCTGAACGGCGCTTCATCTGCCTTAGTACGGTTTGGATTAACGAGCTGTTTAAAGCGAGTTTATGTCTTTGGCACGTCTTGGCTTCAGTCCTGTAACGCTGAGGGCGCCCACAGAGACCGCTTTGTCCTCCGGGGCTGTTTGGCTTCTCATCGGAGCGACGCTCAGCGCAGCTTCACCTACAGCAGCATCTAGGTAGGAAAAACAGGAACATGACGTCCAAACACGTCCTGAAGCTCTGGGTCCTCCTGGGTTTCGTTGTCCTGCAGTTACATCATTTACCGCCTTCAAGTCAGACGTTTTCCAGCAGTTCGCGTTCAGTGAGTTCAGTGTTTCCATCAACATTCAGTCGAATTCAGCCGTCTTTATGGAAATGAGGTGAACTTCGTCCGTCCAGCGGTGACTAAACTAATCTGCGGTGGACTCTGAGGGAGCTCTGGAGAGGGCAGCGCTGCTTTTGGGCTAATAAATGTTAGATTTGGCTTCGGCGTCACTTCGACAGATTCGCCCGTTTTAGCTCTGCATGCTAATCTGGAAACGCGGAGACTCACATTTCCAGCGTGTCTGCGTGTAAAACCTGCTGTGTCCTCAAGTCAGATGTGACGAAACTAGGCAGTGGCCGAAATCGCTGACAGGTAACTGTCGACATGGCACACCTGTGTGCGCGAGCACAGCAGCGATTTAAAGGCCGGTTTATCACGTGCTCAAACAGCTAAAGCGCATTTTCCACCTCAGGACTTTGGGTAATTGGACCCAGTCCTACTTCAGCACTGACGACGTCGCCCCTTAAAGGGCTTCTGTGAAGTCTCACTCCGGTTTCGTCACCTTCCGCGCGGAGAATGAGGGGAATCGTCTTCGGGTGGTTCATTAAAGCTGTTCTTGTTTTTGTGTCTTCGCTGATAAACGACCGTGTTTCACCTCGTCTAATGAAACACCGCGCGCTCTTATCTCTCAAGCCATAAACAGCTTCTCCATGCGGGCAATAAATTAGCTTGATGGGCTGTGGTGGTTTAGCGACAGCCACGGTGAGCAAAATACAACAGAGCAAAATATTACGGTGTTATTATCGATAAAAGCCGCAATAACGCACATTAACCTCGAGTCCGTCACGGAACCCTGTCCGACTTACGCACTGAAGGAATTGGTGATGGAGAATAAATGTAGGAAGGACAGGTAATTAGCTTCAGTGTACTCCCCTGAGACTGACCATTAAAATATTATGGGTCTCTCTCTCTCTCTCTCTTTTTCTCTCTCTCTCTCTCTCTGTCTCTCTCTTTCTCTTTCTCTTTCTCTCTCTTTCTCTCTCTTTCTCTTTCTCTTTCTCTCTCTCTCTCTCTCTCTCTCTCTCTCTCTCTCTCTCTCTCTCTCGTCTCAACCAGCACTTTTAAGATTGCGAAAGTAGCCTTTTTTGCATCAGGTCTGCAATAATGATAGTCAGGAGGTCGGACATTGCTGTCTGGGCCAAAGGGCGCTGGAAAGACAAGTTCAGTGACAAGGTGAGAGAGAGACTTGGCCCTGAGGTCTGTTTTAAGTGTATTATATAACAGCTTGTGATCCCAGATTAGAATTTGTCTGTTACCCTCCTTCATTCATCGTCTCTCTCTCGCTCTGCCCTCCCAAAGATGCAGGCTTGTAAATGCGCCCACTGCTTTGTTAGGCGGCACAAATAATGGGCTTCCGCTTTTCCCTGTGTTCCACTCCCTCGTTCAGAGTACCGGTGTCTGTAACCCTGCAGGTGGTGGGCAGGGCACTGTAGCCTCCTCCTGTCTTTTCGTCCATGTGATCGATTTAGCCTGTGTCACTCTCTCTCTCTCTCTCTCGATTGTCACTCGGAACTCACAGACAAAACACTCTGGCTCTGTTGCGGTTCAACACAAAGGGAACAGCACAACAGCCGTTCAGAAAGAAGCTCCTGCATTTGGTTAACGTGTTCCTGTGTCTCTTACAGTGGTGTGGTTGAACCTTGTTTGATTGTACAGGCCTGGCTGTAGGAATAAATCAGCACACAGTGCATCCTAAGCGTGTGTGTGTTGAGGGGGGGTTATTGATGGACTTCAGAGAATGCAGTACACAATACACAGATACCATGTTTGGCAAGGTATGTGTATGGGTTTATGCTTGCTTATTAAAGTGGATTCTTCAATATTTCCGCATAATTAAACTAGATGTAAGCAGAGTCAGTCAGATTGCTTTGATGTGAAATGCTTCATTCTATAAAGAAACTTAACAAGTCAGTTTCCCAAACAGCATCTTAGTATTAGTAGTAGATCATCTTAAGTAGTGGAGAGAGTGTTCAGTGTGATGCTCACTCTACTGTCTGAGAATCGTCTCTGTGCTAAGATTTTTTTTAGGAAAACCAGCCCAAAGTGTTGGTGATATAAACCATGTTTAACCATGTTTAATAACCTGACTGGAAGCTAATGCATGAAATGAATGCAGATATACTGCCTGATACATGAGATATTCTTTCACAGTAGTCTTGAGAAGGTTTTGGCCTAGAAAAAAAATGTAAACACATCAATGGTGAAGAGGTACACGCAGGACATTCTAATGAAAAATGATAGACTCAGTACTATTTCACCATTATCAGCATTATACAAACTCAGAAGACAGGCAAGTGTTCAGTGGTTGTTTTGGATAGTAAATAAAAGGGCTACGTTTGTGTTGTAGACACTGCTGACCCTTGTTCCTGTCACCACCATTATAAAGAAATCCAAAGACAGTTAGTGTTTCTACAGTTTAGCTTCAAACCTGAATGGCTTAAATCCCAGTGATTTAATTATGATGTAAGTTCTAAAAATCTATTGAATTGCCATTTAAATATTAAGGAGCTCCAATGAAATGCAGTGGTCGTTACGTTACACCATTAAATGATTCGTCACATTATGTGCTTCCCTTCTTTACTCTGCACAGATTCATGGACACGGAATGATTCAGACAGCTTTGTATGTGTGAGTAGTGGGGGGGATCTTGGCTGGAGGTTGCAGCCAGGAGCAGGGCATTGTGGGAGTAGGCTGGTGCTGGTTGGTTGGCTCATAGTCAGAGAGAGAGAGATGAACAGTCTGTAATTAGCACCCGCGACTGCATGCTACATTCCACCTCTGTAAATTACAGAGTGGCCTGCCGATATGGCGTCTGGCCTGCGCCACCAGACTCAGCAAACCTGCCCGGGTGAGCTTATCCAGAGCTCTCTCGTACATGCTCTCTCTCTCTGTCTCTCTCTCTCTCTCTCTCTCTCTCTCTCTCTCTCTCTCATTCCATTTCATGCTCTATATGTCTGGCTGCTTTTCTTTCTGCCTGTCTTGAGTCTAAGGCTCTCTTTCTTTTTCTGTCTCTCTTTCTCAGGTTTTTCTCTCTCTTTCTCTCACACATTCCAGCTCCCGCTCGGTATGTCTGACTGCTGTTCTGCTTGTCCTGCTCTTGTCTCCCACTCTCTCTTTCTTTCTCTCTCTCTCTCTCTCTCCCTTTCAGGTCCTCTCCCTCTATCTTCATTTGTTCCTCTTTCTCTCTTTGTCACTCTCTCTGTCTGTCTGTCTCTCTCTTTTGCTCTCTCTCTGTCATTCATGTTAATGTTTTACTGGAATTGGTTTTGTATCTCATGCAACAAAGCAATTTCAGTACAAATCAATGACATGGACTAAACAAGCTGGTAAATATTTGCAGTCTTGTTACAAATATGTGACGACAGCAACTCCCGCGTGGCACACAAATACAACCCTGCCCTGCTCCATCTGACGCAGAGGACACGACTTCAGAGGCTGTGAGGCCGGGTTAAAGCAGCCGTGTACACTTCTTCAAGGCAGCACTGAAAGCTAGGGTTTACTGTCTCTGATAGGCATCATGGTGGGCTGGAAGTGTAGCTGTTGCTCTGCAGTGCTCCACAGCTGCTGGCTTGAAAAGATGTAGCGGGAGGCCCTGAGCTTAGAGGAGTCAAGCGCGGCCTCCGTCTTCACACTGTTGCATGCGCGGGTTACAAAAAATGCAATCTGAAGGTTAGTATCCAAAATAGTAAAAACGTTGTGTTATTCATGGCAGAGTTCTTGTGTCCCTGCAGTTACAGATCAGACCATAACTAAAGGAAAGACAGTGGTCTCTCTCTCTCTCTCTCTCTCTCTCTCTCTCCCAGAACTTTTTTGTTTCTTTTCACTGTGTACACTGGCAACTCAAGGGACATCACTTCAATTTCTGGTTAAAAATCTCTCTCTCTCTCTCTCTCTCTCTCTCTCACACACACACACACACATATCAGCTGCAGTTATGCCGGCTAGAAGCAGAGTTTCTTGTTTCTTCCACCTCACTTCCACAGCGTTGTTTTTCTGTGAAGCCGTAATTGGTGGTGGTAGACTCCCCTCCTCTGCTCAGTCTCTCCTGGGCTTGGCCTGCATTGATTTGTTTTGATTTCAGTTCCTCCAGAGCCCCAGCACACACACACACACACACACACACACACACACACACACACACACACACACACACACACACACAGGCTACACAGCCCTCCTCACAGCTCCCTGTCGGCTGGGTGGTGCTTTTTAAACAATTGTATGTTTATTAAAAAAAGAAGCGTCTATAGAAGGAGCTGAAAACATTTGTGAAATAATAAGGAATGTGCCTGTGTGTGTTTGTGTGTGTATGTGTGTGTTTGTGTGTGATGATATGATGCCTGGTCTGATGGATGGGATGGGGAAAATGACTGTGACCCTGACAGAGGAGCCAGCCGTGGGAGCAAATGAGCGTGTGTGTTTGTGTGTGTGTGTGTGTTTGTGTGTGTGTGGTGTGTGTGTGTGTGTGTGCGTGTGTGTGTGTGTTCTGTGTGTGTGTGTGTGTGTGTGCGTGTGTGTGTGTGTGTTCCTGTGTGTGTGCCTGCATGCCTGCCTGAGTGCACTGCACTAAGTAGGACAAGTAGCCTCCCTCAGCGTCTCTCCTTCTCATGCCTCAGCCTCGTCTTCCACTTTTCCATTCTCTAGATTGATAAGATCAGTCTTACACTACTTTCTTGCCACTCTGCACTCGACCCACATACATTTCACCTCTGACTCTTTGGTCTATGAGCCGTTATCCAGGTTCAGGATAACGTTAGGGATGCATGATGATATTGGAATCATATCTGTATTGGTAAATGATTGCTTGACAAATGATCTGCATCAGACAGATATTTAGACTGGACTGATATTTCAAACCGATATTAGACATAT